GTCTATAGGAAGACATTGTGGGAAGGCAACTATGTCTGACTATGGTGGCCAAAAATAAGAAGTTTTTCCAACTACCAATTTTTAAAAGCTTTCATGAGCTGCAGGTCACACCAGCATATGCACAGAGTAACTAGACTGGTGTAGGATTTCCAGCTAATCTAGGCAACTGATGGTGAGAGCTGCAGTTCACAAAAGCTGATGCCTTTTAATAAAATCTGTTTGTTGGGAAAGGGGCTCCATTCATGCTATCTCAGCTGCAGCTAAGAACAAAGGAAGAGCCCTATTGGCTAAGAGGGAGCACATTAATGAAGCCTCCTGTTTTCTACAATGATCATTTCTCTTCCTCATAACACCTTTTGCACCTTGGATTGACTTCTTGAAGATGTAAATAGCTGTGTTGTGGGGCCAGACCTGCGGGGTGAAATCTTTGTAAGAGTTCAGTGTACAGACTCTGAATCAGTAGCTGACAGTTTCATTATCAAATCAAAACAGAAATTTACCATCAAAGAAAGGTATCAGCAGAGCCCTAAAGATAAGACAAGAAAGGCAGAAATTCTTCGCTTGGGCTTCGTCCTCCCTTTTGATGGGAGAGCACCACAGTTCATCAAGAGGAGATTCAAACCAAGGTTAACAGACCTCCTGAATAAGGGGTGGTTTTTTTTTTTTTTTTGGCAAGCAAATATATGCTACACAGATGGCAAAGAGAGTGGGGAGGAGGACAGGAGGAAGAACACAGACAGATAAAAATAGTGGCAGGGCAGATTGATCAGCAACAGAGAGGCTAAATTCTGATAAAACTTTATCATTATTCTTTTTCATTACTTGCTATGTCAGGATTTTGTCCTAGTTGCTTATGAAATACAGGAGCATCTGATCTTCTTTCCTTGACCACAGCCAAATATTGTTCTATAGTCTGCACAGACCATCATAGTATTAACTCTAACCCTTTTAGATATTTTAGAATAACCGTATTTTTTCCTTTTATCTTAATTGTGACTTGTGTTTTATTTATGACCAAATAAAGATTGGTTTGATTTGATATGGGAGCATGCATCTATCCTAGTTAAACGCTCTTGCTATGTTTAACATAATGGAAGGTAGACTAATGAGCTATTAATAGCAGTCTTCCAAATCTGAAGGGTTGCTATGCAGAAATATGATGGACTTACTCTCTTTCACCTAGAGGTCAGGAGCATAATTAATGGGTTGAAACAAGAATCCTGGTTTATGAACATCAAGAGGAACTTTTTGACTGTACAAGGTCCCAGTATATGGAACATGCAGCCACAGGAATTTATGAGTTCTGCTTTGTTAGAGGTCTTCAAACAGAATGTGGATGGCTCTCTCTCAGAGATCATTTACTGGACACTGTATTGGAGCAGGGGATTGGACTAGATGACATCAAAGATCAAACTCTTTGCAATCTGGTTTACAGTCCATAAGAGCAATGCAAACTGCTGGTTTTATCATGAGGCCAAAACAGTGACTAGATGGTCTGAAAGAGTATCTCTTCCTAGATTTACTTTCCTAGACTCTACGAACATCATCTGAGCCCCTTTGCCTCCCATTTAGATTAGGATTTTCCTGGCACTAAATGAATGTAGAGTCATTGAAACATAGGCTGTAAAGGTTGAAGGAACTTTGGAGTTAAGTCTATTCCAAACCCATTCCTCACGCAGGAAGCCACCACTGCAGCATCCTCAAGAAATGACCACCCATCCTTATTTCAATAACTCCAGCACAGAAGAGTCCACCACCTCCCAAGGCAATCTGTTTTATCCTCGCAATACATTTCCCTTCTGCTCAACCAAAATCTACTTCCTTGTAATTTTAACGCTTCAGAAATTTTGTGTGTGCGTTTTGTGTGTGTGTGTGTGTGTGTGTGTGTAATATGCAGCACTGTTTCTTGTCCTGTCTTCTGAAACAACACTGTCCCACCTTCTACATGACAGCTCTTCAGATGCCTCCCTGCGGTCATCTTTTCCTTAGGCTAAATGTATCCACTGTTTCTAATAGTTTGCTATGCTGCATGGTTTTTTTCTTCTTCTAGGTTCCCTTTCATCTTAGTGGCTTTGGACATTTCACAGTTTGTCAATGTCCTTTTTAAAAAGTGATGCCCATATTTGCATGCAATAGTTTACATGTAGTCTCTGCTAAACAGAGAGAAATGATAACTTGATATCTATAACTTGTGGATATAGCCTAGGACTGCATTTGTGTTTTTTTGGGGAGGGGTATTGCATATTACACACACACATACACAGAACCTCTGAAAGGAATTGGGGCGGGAATTCTCTTCAGAAGGGAATTGGAATTTCATGGAAAGTAAAGGCCAAAGTAGCCCAGTGGTGGTCCGAGACCACTCGGGGTTGTGACTCCTAAGCTGGGAGGGTGGCTCCAACACATCCCAGGAACAATGTCAGCTTTCTGTCTAGAAGTGTGTTGTGTTAGGAAGAGATGCAATCCTGCACAGAACCCCCAAACTCCCAGGCCTCTGGTAGAGGATCCAAGATTGACGAAGACACACTCACTACCCATAGGACGAGAGAGGGATTTTTTAAATACTTCTGAGTGATCTGTGTTTTCCTCAATTTGGGGTCCTCAATCAGAAGCCTGGGAGTTTGAAGGTTCTGCACAGGATCTTAGCTCTTTTTAGCACGGCACTCACTACATTTATATATTCATCTTTATCGGTATGGTGTTGCTGTTTATTGTTTTACATTGTATGTTTTTAATAGACATATGTATTGCCCAGGAAAATTGTGATTGCTGGGTGGTTTAGAAATGTAATTAATGCATTAATAGACATGTCTCCTTGTTATTTATCCACAGAAGCTGGTCTTCAGAGATAGGTTGCCTATGAATATGGAGTAACCACACCACCATCATGACTAATAGCCAATCATAGACACCCCCCCCTCCTCCAGCACACTCCCTTTTTGAAGCTAAGTTAACTGCTATCATTAGCCACTGCCATAATCACCTCTATAAGTTAATTCTACATTATGCAAGAAAGCATTTTTCTCCTTGCCTTGAATTTCCTGCTCATCCATTTCATTTGGCAAGATTCCCTCCGCCCTCGTCCATTTTCTCCATATCCTGTGCAGCATTCCATGCACGCAACTTCCTCCTCTGTTTGCTCTCATTCTCTAGCTTAGGACTGAGAAATTGTATTTAATTTAATCTCTTTTTTCCCCCCAGAGTTTGACAAATTATCTGCAATCCCCAGACAAGAAATGGCTGGTTTCTTGGGATGGGGGTGTCAACTCCCCCCCAACGATGTGGTTTTTTGAAATTCATATGCATTGCTTACTTCTTTGTACTTCCTTCCCTGCTCACAATTCCAATTGGCAGAAGCTTTATTCTTGCCACAAAAGGTGACAAAAGAGCCTTATTATTCTTTCTTTACTTCTCTCACACTTGAGCTGGAGAATCCAGACCCTGTCAGTCGTTGACAAATTGCATTTGAAGATGCTTGCGACAATGAGCATCAAAAAAAACACCCTTTGAATGTCTCAGACTAGATTCTGGACTCTCAGCTGATGCAGAGAGGGATGCCATGGGTTTGTGTGAGGAAAGATGCAAAAAGATGTGTCTGTTTAGAAAAAGAATCACCTGTAGAAGGTCTGAGTCCCAGAACAGGTTGGGGTTTAAGCCTAAGGACACAGCACAATCAGATACAAAGTTAAGGCAACCTTTTTTCCCCTACTTGCATTTGTCATATGTTAGGACAACAATATCCAGAGGGAATTACAAAGTTCTAGAGGTTGTACAGGATAGCTGCTATAATCAGAATTCTTCAAAACACTATTTTCAAAAAACATGATTCAGGAAGAAAGGGCACTAAACTTTTCTTTGTTCCTTTTCAAGGTACAATTGCTTCTTAATTCCACATTCTGTGAGAGCTGGCTTCTGGCTATGAAAAAAATATTCTGTTTCTATCAGAAGTGCTGTATTATTTACAGGTTGGTTTTTTTTAGTGGATCATCTGGATCCTCACAGGTTTTTTCACAAACAAGCCTCATTAACATAACCGAACAGCAGATAAATTCTTGGGCTTGGAAAGCTAAGTGTGGGCCCAGATCAGATACCCTGATGGATGGGAGGCATAGACCTAATAAGAAGCCATTTCTAAAATAGCAACAAACATACTGTGCCCCGTATTTATCACTGACATGGTTTTTTTTTCAGTGCATGTGTTATTGTTAGTTTAAGGAAGGCAGGAAGTTCATGCCAAAGATTGGCAGCTTTTGCTACAGGCAGCCCTGAGAAGGAACTGTGCCCCTAGTAAGACAAATTTTGGTTCCCTTACCTGTGCCATTGAATTAGTGTATTGGAAACTGCTATTTTGACCTTTCCAACCAGACACTCTTCTTATCCTAACTCTGCATCCTAGAAAATCTGCTCTCTCAGCAGGACCATCTTTTCCCCTCTTCAGAAGAGTCTGGCTTCAGACTCTCCAATCCTGCGCTGCCCTTCAGTTTCTGAAAAAGAGGCTCCGGGGCAAGTCTCCATCACGAGAAGACACCCCCACACCTTCCTTGAACTAATTCTCCCTGACCTACTCTTCTTAATGTTGTAGCCCCAAGAAGATTCCCATTCCTTGGAATTTCCAGGTCACAAACTGACCTTTTAGACAGTTGGGGGGGGGGGTGCACTCTACTCCTAGGGACAAGGCTTTATTTCAGCTCAGACCTCAACTACCAGGTATCTGAATTCGATTTCAAAAGGCTTCCCCGCTCCAGAGTCACCGCGCCTCTCCCGACAAATCCGCGGAGCTTCGGAGCGCACGAAGCTCCCTTGAAGTAGGGACTCAAGCATCTCCTGCGCTCTCGGCTCCAAATCAAGATACCTCCGTCGAAGCAGCCGCTACGTTTTCTCCCCCCCCCCCCAATCCCAATCCCAATCCCACCCGTCTCGGGACAGCCGCTTCTCTCCCACCCACCCCCCGCGGGCGCATTGCTGCCTTTCCCTTCCCTTTCCCCTCCGGTTGCTCTCACCGGCGGTACAGCGAGGAGGGCCAGGACATCCTGGGGTTTCGGAGGGCGGGCCGGAGCGCGGCATCGCAGGTTCCCGAGCGCAGGTACTTCTCCGTGTCGGAGTGGAAGCGCTGCTTGATGCGGATGTGGGTGCGAGGCTGGCGCCAGAGGTGCTTGGGCGGCTTGGCCAGGCCGGCTCCTTCGCGGCTCAGCTCCAAGGGGCGGCGCGCGGCGCTCTCCTCCATCGCCCGGTGCTGAAACGGCCACGTGGAGCCCGGCGAAGCGGAGAGGCAGAAGGGCCGGCGAGGGAGGAAGGAAGGAAGGAAGGAAGGCACGGCCGGGCAAAGTTTCGCCGGTGCCGCCCCCAGCCTCGGCTCCTCCGAACTGGCCCTCTGCCCTTTCTCCGCGCTCCCCGGTTATGTAGCGCTGGCGACGAGCAGGCGCTCCGGCCAAGGTTGATTTAAGCGCTCCTCCGGCTCATTAGTCCGGCGGGGGAGGCGGGGCGAAGGCTCTGGCCGCTCTCCCCCTCCGACACGGTCGCTGCGCTCAGGCTGGCCAGCCGCGAAACGACGCGGAGGGGCGCCTTCCCTTCCCCGCGCGCCTGGCTCGTGGAGCAGAGCTGCGCCCTTCGCTCTCCGGCGGGGAGAAGGCGCCGCGGCAGAGCGACACAACAGGTCCCACGGCTGCCTCGAGACAGGCGCCAGCCCTGCCTCCAAGCAGCGCCCCCCAAAGTCTCTCCCCGAGCACTCTTTCAGCCCTGCCCCCCCCTTTCATTTTCCAACAAGGGGGTGGGCTTCCCTGAAAGCACGCAAAAGGCAGGGGCCCGCTGAAGCAGCCTCCATAAGGCTGGTTCAGCCGGTGGCTTTCCAGGTGCGCTTCAAGGTGTTGGTCATCATCTTCAAAGCGCTCCATGGCATCGGACCTGGTTATCTCCGAGACCGCCTTCTGCCTCAGATTGCCTCCCATCGGCCGATACGCTCCCACAGAGAGGGTCTCCTCAGGGTGCCGTCAGCCAGACAGTGCCGGCTGGCGACCCCCAGGGGGAGGGCCTTCTCGGTGGGAGCTCCCACCCTATGGAATGAACTACCCCCAGAGATCCGGGTGATCCCGGATCTCCCCTCCTTCCGCCGCGCCCTCAAGACATGGCTATTTAAGTTGGCAGGACTGGCCTAAGGGTTATTTTTAGCTTGGTTTTATAATAATTTTTAAAAATAATAATGGCCTAATAATATTTCATTTTAATTAACATTTTAACTTTAGTATTTTTGTATTTATGTATTTGTTTTTAAAAGGCTGTAAGCCGCCCTGAGTCTGCAGGGAGAAGGGCGGGGTAGAAATATTAATAATAATAATAATCAGGGCTTTTTTTCAGCCGGAACGCGGCGGAACCGCGTTCCGGCACCTTTTTCCGGGCCGGCCGCACCGGAAATAGCCCCTCCCAAATTTTACTTGCATTCCTGTTCTCTAAAGGGGCGGTCCTAGGGTTTGATGAGGGCGTGGCCAGGTTTGAGTTCCACCACCTTTTCTCTGAGAAAAAAAGCCCTGATAATAATAATAATAATAATAATAATAATAATAATAATAATAATAATAATAATAATCCCGCTCTTCCCCCCCTACCAATTTCAACTCAGACTCGAGCGAAAGGGGCCCTTCCGTTCTTATGTTTCAGAGGGGAGAAATTCTTCTGCCATTAAAAAGGAAGGGTATCCGAAAAGTAAACAGTGGCAAAAGCTTTCCTAGACTTTAGCCAGCTTCTTTCAATGCATGGAAGGTTGCCAAGCTAGCAAAAACAAAAAACCACCACTTCTTAGGAAAAGTAATTGAAAATAGTGGGGGCTAAAGGAACAGCCAAGACATTTTGTTACTGGAAGGAAAAGATGGAACTGAATGAACCGTATAGCCAGCTCTTTTTTAAACTGTACCCAGTTAGATCCACCCATTCAAAAGAGCCACATAAACACTGGTCCCTGGATAGGTAGGATTTTTTTATATATATCTCCCTTAAAGGATTAGGGAGATGGGTTTTAAAAAAAAAGATATAAAAATGAAACGTGAAACTTAGAAATCTATATGCAAATACTGTTGGCTGTATCCTGTATTCCATTATATTGCTATCACCATAATTATATTATTCTACTAGTCAATTACTATTACAATATTTCCTCCAAACTATATTCTATAGCAGGGGTGTCAAACTCAATTTCATTGAGGGCCGCATCAGCATTGCGGTTGCACTGGGGGGGGGGTGGCCAGGGTGAGTGCGGCCTACTGGGTGGGCTTGGATGGAGTAGGTGTGGCCTATTGGGTGGGTGTGGCCAGCTCTACATCGTTCACATCAAGGGTGTCTGTGGGGGCCTGGGCAGGAGTGGGACAGATCTGAAGGTCTCTGGCAGAAGGGGGTGGGACCGGGGCAAGGGCCAAGGCATGGTCCACTGGAGGAGCCTCACTGTTCCTCTCAGGCCATGAGGGGGGGTGGCTTATGGAGCTAAGACTGAATGCGTTTCAGCATAGATGGCCACCACAAAATTGTACATTGGTTCCCGGCTGGCCTGGACAAGGGCCAAGGCAGCGGGGGCCGTTCCCTCACTGTTTCCAGGATGGCTTCGCGGGCCACATGAAACCACTTTGGGGGCCGCATCTGCCCCCCGGGCCTTGTGTTTGACATGTCTGTTCTATAGCATAATTATTCTATTATAACATCTCCTCTTTACTATACCACTCTCTACAGTATTACTAGCAATGCCCTCTTCTTACAAATCCTGTTCTGCTTCCTGCCTTAATTCCTTACTCTCTAGAAGTTCTTTTTTTTTCTTTTTCTTCTCTATTAATGGCCAGCATTAATAGAGTTCTTGTGGCTTTCCACATTGTACTTTGCTCCTCTATTCTTTGTTTTCTTCTCTGGGCCATTCACTCCCTTTGAAGGAACTCCCCCCCCTTTTTTTTGGCTTTTATTTTCTCTGTTCGCTGGTGGATGCAGAGCTTCCAAAATGCACTTCTCCATCTCCTCCCACACTTGTCTCAAGGTTGAAGCTTTACTGGCAACTCTGCCAGGCTGACACTGGGGGGGGGGGGAAGGCTCAAATGGAGGAAGGCAGCACAGGTGCCTGCAATTTTCTAAGCAGCCATCTCACCCGCAAGCTGCCAGAGTTGAATTTTTCACCAGTTAATGGGGGTTAAGCCGAGCCATTTAAGTGGCCCAGGGGAGACTACACAAGGCAAAGGATTCTATCTCTTGATCCAAGGTATTCAAAAGGAGGAGCTGGAGGCTGCCACTACCAACTTTTAGCTTTAGCCCCTTGAGGTTGGGGTTTTTCTTTTCCTTTCTCTCTAATGATTGGACCAGACCTAAACAGGTTTTCAAAATTAGCAGGGTAATCATAGTGATTGGAGAGCCAGTTTGGTGTGCAGATAGTCCTTAACTTACAACCTTTTGTTTAGTAACCATTTGAAGTTACAATGAAGTTGGGTGAAAAATAACCACCAGTTCTCACACGTATGACCAGTGTAGTTTCCCTGAAGTCACATACTCACAATTTGGGTGCTTGGCAACCTTCATGTATTTACAGTGGTTGCAGTATAACAGGGTCACATGATTTTCATTCGCTACTTTCCCAGCTGATTTTCAACAAGCGAAGTCAATGGAGGAAACCTGATTTACTGAACAACCATGGTGGGGAAAAGGTCATAAATCAGATACAGTCATGTGATGACTCACTTGGCAATGAAAATTCTTGCCCCAATTGTGGTTGTAAGTTGAGGACACCTGTAGTGGTTAAGGCATCGCATTAGAAATTTGGAAGCTGAGTTCTAGCCCTGCCTTAAATTCAAAGCCAGCTGGATGACTTTGAGCCAGTCACTCTTTCTCAGCCCTTGGAAGAAGGCAAGGGCAAACAACCTCCAAAATCTTGCCAAGATATCTTGCAATTGCCAGGAATCAAGACTGACTCGGAGGCACGCACACAAAAAGTCACATTCATGGGAGAGTCTATAGAAGAGAATATTTGTAGCTCAGTGTTATGCTGTGAGGTCCTTGGTGCTCTCTGAGCTTGATTGGTTTTTTTGCAGTCATTTCATTACCAAACTAGGTAATATCATTCAGTGCTAGTAGAGAGTGGAATTTGCTCTCGTTTTATATACTAGTGATTTGCCCTGTGTTGGTGGGAGTGCTCTTGATGGTTCCTTGATTGGGTTGTTGTTTACTGTTGTTTATTGTTCAGCTTCACTCCCTATTGCAGGGGTGTCAAACTGCTGGCCCACGGGCTGGATGCATCATAGCGAAACTGTGCCCACCCCATTGCCGGCAATGGGAAAAAAAGTCGTGATACATCACGACACGTCACGTGACGTTGTGAGTTTGACACCCCTGCCCTATTGTTAAAGTGTTAGAAGACTTTATGCATGCCTTAAGCTTTTTCAACGGTGAATTTACCTACTTTGTCTCTTAAAATAAACTTCAAATCTCTCAAGAGGCCAAATGAGAAATCTTAGTTTGACTTTAGGTCTCCTGCCCCCTCCCAGGAAGCTCAGGGGATTGAAAAATATGCTTCTGGGCCACACTTTTCTTGCTCCCTTAGCCTGTGGACATTACACTTCCAGTGAGGCTACAAATTCCAGGTTGCTTTTCACCCACTAGTAAGTATTGCAAAACAAAGAAATACACACAACTTGGAAACTGAAAAACTCAGGCTTTTAACTGGAGCATGGAACAAAAAATACTGAAGGACAGTACAATTTTATCTCTTAGGAAACTGACACATAAACTCAAGGAATCACCTCCAAATTTTGTACACTGGTCACAACAGTCCTTTCATCCTTCATGTAGATCTTAAATGAGCATGCATTGATCTGAAGGCACAGGAAAATTGCCCACTTTCACTAAGTAGGATGAGAAGCAAGAGAAATTTGCTTCAGCTCCTCTCAAAGGCAAAAGTTTCCGTCACCATGTTCAGCTGGATGTAAATACAGGCAAATTAATCAAAAGCTTGTTATGAAACCATAAGAACAGCAAATATATGCCAGCAGCCCGCATGGAAGCAGCTGAACAAATTGTTGTGTTTTTGTGTGTGTGTGTGTGTGTGTGTGTGTGTGTCCATGCATCCCTGCCCTTCCAGCTGAAACCCATCCATCTGCCTTGTCATTTTAAGGCTGTTGATAATTTATGTTCTGAATTTATAAAGAGTGCATTGAAGCTGAGGATTATAAAGCAAAATCTTTCAGTTTGGATCCCTTGCAAATTACAATT